AGAAGAAGAAGAAGAAGAAGAAGAAGAAGAAGAAGAAGAAGAAGAAGAAGAAGAAGAAGAAGAAGAAGAAGAAGAAGAAGAAGAAGAAGAAGAAGAAGAAGAAGAAGAAGAAGAAGACTTTTTTAAAAGGCTTTTACAGTACCCATATCCAACACAAACTTTGATGTCCTTCAGCATAAATATTATTGGGCCTGTCTGAGTTTCTAAACATGCTGTTTGCTGAAAACTTCACCTCCAGGTTCTAAAACAATAGACAGGAGTTAGCTAAATGAAAAGTGATATGAGGCCACAGTCAGAATAAAGCTAATATTATTTTTCTTCACAAAGTATCCCATTTAAGCATGTTTCATAAGACAATGTGAAAGACAACATGGCCCTGGGGGACAGAGTCAACAGTCCACAATATTTATTGTTTGGCTTATAGTTTTAAAGGGCCTTTTTAAAGATTGTCCTGTTGCACATAAAATCAGGGTCGCAATTTCAGATATTGATGAGGAGAGGAACATTTTTAAAAACAAATGTACGGGCTTAACTGATGGATACTTTCTGCATTATACTGAAAAAACAGTGAACATTTAATTATAATTATATTTAACTTATTCTAATATTGATAATAACTATACAGATTATCAGCATGCACCAGATAACTTTATATTGGTATGTTTATTGTTCATCTCCAGGAGTGACCAACAAATACAGATATTGAATAGTTTATAGGATGGGAAAAGAATGGCATGGCATGGCATGGCATAGAATAGGTGATTAGAATTTGTCTCTGAATCAGACTTCAGTACACATGCATAGCAACATAATAATGATAATCATAATAATCATAATAATAATATCAATAAGAGGGTGAGTAAGAAGTATAATAAGAAGGATAAATAATAAGGCTACAGCCATACTAATTCAATAAATACACATACATATTAAACAGCACTGTGAAATTTAGGTGTTCAGCAGAGGGATGGCCTGAGGGGGAAAACTGTTCTTGTCTGTAGTTGTTTTGGCTTGCAGTGTCCTGTAGTGTCATCCTGAGGAGAGAAGTTGAAACAATTTATGTCCAGGATGTGAGATGTGTGCAGATACCTACTCAGCTCTCTCTCTGACCCAAGCAATATACATACAGTCTTTTATGGAAGGCAAGTTGATTGTAATTATTCTTTCTGCAGTCTAACTATCTGTTGGAGTCTTTACTTATCCTATTTGGTTGCTGTACCAAACCAAACAGTTATAGAAGTACATATGACTGACTGAATAATTCCTCTATAAAACTGTATCAACAGCTCCTGGAGCAGTCTGAACTTCCTGAGCTGACACATAAAGAACATTCTTTGTTTTCCTTTTCAATGATGATTCTAATGTTGCATGTCCATTTTAAGTCCATGGAGATCTGCAGTTCTCTACACTTTGTTGGAGTCAGTCTTCCAATATCCTTGAAAATCGTTAAATATGGCTGGGATGTTAGATCTGAGGCCAATAACATCTAGCCAATTCCCAAATCTTGCCAATTCAAATGTGGAATCAGTTGTTGAAAAGATAAGCTAAATTGACACATTGATTAAAGTCTTGGTTTCTCAAACCACAGTCTGTTAAATCTGCCTTACATGGCTTAGTTTGTATAATACAGAACATACCATAAACCAGGAATAGATTTTCAGCTAGAATTGTGTTTGGCACCTACTGGATGGATTCACAATAGTTGTGACCACCACAACAGACATGGCAAGTCACAAACTGTCTATTTGCCAGTGTAATGTTGCAATCCTGAAGATGTTGTAGCAAATAAGTGCATTAATAAATAGAAACTCAGACTAGTGCTTACTATTGCAAGTTGCTAACTTTGTATTAATTTTGAGTAAGTAATCTTTTTAAAGCACAAGTCCCAAACCTCAAAGGAGATTTCTGTTGGTACATTGGCAGTTCAAGGCTCAACACTGCCTGTCTACCATTCTGCAAACTATGGCTTCTAAATCACATTAGCTATGTTTATATAGCAGATTAAGCCAAATCCAAACAAACTGCAACATACTTTGGTAAATCTAGGTAAACCTAGACATGAATATTTTAAAGAAATAACACTAACAGTTATGAATGTAATTATTTCAGCCTTCCAAATTGTTTCCTCTCTTCAAAGATCTGCTAGGAAACCTGCTGCTTTTTAATCCACCCTAGAAATTCATCCTTAGATAATCTTCACAGAAAGAGTAAGAAGATAACATATTACAGAGGCACCATTTTGTTCCAATTAACTGATTTCACCAATCTTGATTTCAGCAAAACATTTGATACAATACCCCATGACATGTTGATTAACAAGGTAGTTAAATATAGGATGAACAGCATGACATGTAACTGTCAGACCTAATGATGTAAAACAATCAGCCAAAGTTCAGTCCTTTATTTGCTTATCTGTATAAATAAAAATCTTGCCAGACTAAACCTCTATCGCCCTAACCTGATGGATATACCCTGGGAGACTCTAGGTTGCAGCAATCCTAAATCAGGTTTTTTTCCCATGGTCCAGCTACAGTCTGTACTGTCTCTTGTTTCACCACCACCCCTTCCTTGGTATGCATTCCCTCCTTCCTGGGAACCTGCTGCATTACCGTAGTTCATCACAATAGTTGTTGTGTAGTTCATGATGTAATGGGAAAAAATTATCAAGTGGCTAACACAAGGATCAGTCTGATTCTCTAGTCTTTAGTACTGTTGTAATCCCTGGATGTAGATTAGAAGTGTCAAAACCAGGCAGGGGCATGGCCAGCGTGTGACGCATCCAGCCCACAGGCAGCAAGTTTGTCACCCTGATGTAGAGGAAAGAAATGTAGAGGAAGGAAATATCAGATTTGCAGTTGACTCAAAACTGCTTGAGTTAAGTAATATCCTAAAATATGGAAAATCATCTTGATAGGCTACTAGTAACAGAATGAAAATATCAAAGGTAAGCACAGAGGTTTTCAATTACAAAAAACAAATCAAATGCTTATTAATGACACTATGGAAATAGATATTGCAGTAATAATTGACTGTAAACTAAAAATGGGTCAGCAAAAAATGCAAATACAGTTTTAGACAACATTAACAAAAACATACTTCTAAATAATGGGAAATCATTATTAGTCTTTATTTTGTTTATGTAAAACCCCACCTTAAGTATTATCAAAGGAACACTATGAACATGTCACTAAATCTCTCTTTTGGACTACAAGCATACATTCATAGGTTTGCTTATTTGTTTATTATATTTATACATCACTGTGATCTATACGGACTTCAAAGGACTTCATGACAAAAACACAAAAACATAATTAAATATAATAAGTAATATTACATATCAGGATTGTGTGTGTGTGTGTGTGTGTGTGTTGTTGTTGTTGTTGTTTTTTACTTAGTATTTGGATTACTCAAAAAACTGGACAAGTGATTTTACGCAATGGTAGGGAAAGGTGGGAAATTATACATGAAATTGTAAAAGGCTTTCTGCAAAATCAAAGTTGTACCTGGGAAGATACAAATTGGTACATGTCATCCTTTAAAAATCCAAGCATCGTTATCATTCCAATATAAAATCTTTTCAGACAATTAACACCGTTCCTCATCTGTTTGACTTCAAGCATACACCATTCTCAAGATCTTTAAAGGTTGATGTCTCCGTTCTTCTGCCACAGGCGAACATCATGGTCATTAAAGCAATGTTAATTAATATCCATAATTTGATGGGAATAACCATTCTAATCTAGCTTTTCCCCACCATTACTTTCTCCTTCTAATTGATTGAAATTTTCCAGGGCTGCTTTTGATGCAGAAAAGGAGGTATTCTCAAATTGAATTAAGCTGTGGGTCTTGCTATGCAAAGCAACACGCACCAAAGCAGTAAGTATAGTTTATGAAGGGCATATTGCATAGTGCAATAATTCTGTTCATGCTGTTTTCTCCCTTCCTATGCTGTTATTATACATATGTATGTATATTTTGATATTTGATATTTAGTAAGCTTGGAAGAGAATTGTCCAGCTTGACTGTCAGGTGGGAAAAAAATAGTCAAGCTAGCTATGTCAAATATGAAAGATCAAATGAAGGCTCCTTCAATGTATTTGAATAACTGTGACATTAGCTGTCACTCAGTAGCTCATTGACAACAACAATAAAGAATTCTGTACAGAAATTAAATTCCATAGATAGTAGACAGCTGGATACTTTTCTTCTTCATTTTAGGGATAGAGAGATTAAGCTTTGCAGAATCTAAAACACATAAAGCAGGGGTGTCAAACCCACAGCCCATGGGCTGGATGTGTCACACACTAGCCACGCCCACTCCCGGTTTAGCAAAGGGGGAAAATACATCACATGACGACAACATGATGTGAATTTGACACCCCTGACATAAAGCAATCTTAGTATCTGCTGAAAATTAAACTTCTCCAAATTGAATTTTTCATACTCAAGGTAATTAAGGGACAGAATTATGTCTTCAACCTTTTAAGATACTCACCCACTTAATCCCCCAAAATGAAAACAGACCTGAAAATTAAAGCCCAGCCCATTCCAGTAATGCAGTAACAAGACTAGACTTACTACATCGCAATAGATTCCACACAAGCTTTGTTTTGATTTTCCCTAAGCAAGAAGCAAATTAAAGTATTTCCAAGACAAAGAACCTTTGAGCAGCATGTGTTGTCTCAGTTCTTGCTGCTTGGTTCTTACTCCAGATTCTGCACCACAGCTCAGTGTACTACAATTTCATTAGAGATGCAAGAAAAGAACACAAAGCCCTTTTGTATCCACATCTAGTAAACTGATTGATTTCTAGGTGGATTTAGATTACAGCTTAAGTGCTCCTGTATGAAAACATGGATAGACTGCTTTAAGCCAGTTTTAGTTGTCATGGTTTCCTGTAAGAAATCCTGAAGCTGCAGTTTGGTGCCAATGATAAAATTCTGAAGCAGAGAACAATAACTATTCACTAGACATACACCTTCAACACAGTGGTGGGATTCTTTACTAGTAGTAATTTTTTTTTACTACCAATTCTGTGGGCGTGGCTTGGTGGGAGTAGCAGGGGAAGGATACTGTAAAATCTCCAGTCAAAGGTGGAATTTGTGGTTCTTCGAACTACTCAAAATGTCCACTATCGGTTCTGCAGAACTGGTCAGAACCTGCTGAATGCCACCTCTGCCTCAACATATACAAATATAGAGAAAGCACAAACTCTAGAATGTTATCAAAAGCATGTTTTTCGATGCAGCATAGAAAATTTATCCTGCTTTTTGCTTATTAGTTCTAATTCCATTTGCTTAAGATTTGCTTAGAAATTTGTTTTCAAAAGAGAATTTTGGAGAAATTGTTCTTGCAATTATTTTGTTATGTGATGATCATGGAATAGTGATGTAAGTGCCATTGAGTGTGCTTCACATTTTGCCAAGACTTACCCAACAGAGGGGGGTGCTGTCACTGCCATATCCAATCTGTAACATATTAATTTAATGTCTTTTCTAGGACTCTTCAAGGATACAGAACCTCTCAGAGACTCCCATGGGCCTCTGTGAGAACCAAATATTGATCCATGGATCTGAATTGCACAGGGAGCTTCTGATCCTTGGCATTCAGCATGTCAAGATAGAATGGGAAAGTAATGAACTATCATGGCAAGCCATCCTTAAAAGGCCTATGGAGGCCCAAGAGAAGACTTACTGCTTAGTGCAAACCAGCTAGAAGTCAGAGAAAGCAAACCCACCCAGTTCAGCTCTTTTGGGGTAGAAAAAAAAACAGGTTAATCTCAGGCAGGAACAGGTTAATCTGGGCCAAGAGATATAGATTATTTTCTAGGTATCTATCTCTGTATTTGTAGATATAGCTGTACCTACATCTATCTGTATATATAAGTTTCTGGGTATATGTATGTGCATTTGTATTAATATATATGAGATATGAAAATGAAACACACGTATCACACACAAGTAGCTCTTTGGTAATTTTATTTCCATGTCAGAGAAATTATAAGACTATCCATTAAAACAATGGCTGGAATCTAACATCACTTTAAACCTAACTAAGTCTTATTAATTAAGCTATCATGGGCTGGGATTGCACACCATGCTAATAAAACATAAAATATATTTTATGGTGCTAAAACATAAACCTTCAAGATTTTGATGCTTATATAAACTTCTTTCTCTAAAGGATTTAATTAAGAAAGGTTAGAACTGAATAGAGCCCGGCCAACCACCTTAACTTTAAAATAAAACTCTAAGTAGTAGGAGTGAAAGCAAGGAAAAATATCACAGTGATACACAGAAGAGATAAAAAAAACAAAAGGAAGAGAAAACAGACAACCCAAGGATACGTTTGGGTTTTCAGGAAGATGATGAAAGAGTCTATAGCATATAAATGGTACAAATGTATTGGTCTATACTGTATAGAAGGATAAATAGCAATCATAATGGTCAAGCAAAATGGAGAAAACTTTCACAGGATGTTAATTTGACCACTCAAGATTTTCCTACAGACCAGAGAAACCTTCTGAGTCACAGGGAATCAATGAGTATAACCTGTTGCGCACTGAAATGGAGTCTGTGCCTCACTCACTGAAGAATAATGTTGTCATGCCACTTAGCTTTACAGCCACTTCCCATACATGGAACTTACTTTAGTGACTCCTGATTGCTGATAACTGGCCCATTTCCAAAGGACAAAGACAAGAGAAGCTGATTAAATCTTATTATACAATACTAATTAAAGCTGGTGTCACAAGCCAATGTTCTTGCTCTGTCACTTTCCGATCTTACATAAAGCCTATTGCATGGACCTACTGTTAAAAACTGAAGAAGCTCCTTGGATGAGAAGCAAAATGTTTCCAAACCAAAAACCAAGAAAATCCAGTTGCCATTTGGAAAAAGCACTTTTGGGACACCCATGACCTGGATGATTGAGAATCTCCATAGACAAAGCATGATAATTTGTCAAGCTAATGAGTGCAGATACCATTGCCTGGACTCACTTGAAAAACAAAAGTAAGATTCTTAAAGCTCAAGCTACCTATTTACATAGTTATATGATCTGGAGTTAGTAGCATTTAGGGAACACATAATCTAGAAGTGGCTTTCCAATGACAGGAAAGTTTTTGTAGGCAATTCTTTATAAAATTATCAGTGGCATGCTGACTGTCACTCTCTTCAGGTTACAGGGAACATGGTATGTGTTAGGTAGATCCTTGAGAAGTTTCCTTTCAGTTATCAATCTTCTTGCCAAAAAAAATATCTTTGGCACAAAATTCTTGCGGATGAAGGATGATAGAATAAACTATCCAACTTGCAGAATGCAGTGATTATCATTCTTTCTTACTCTGTTCAGAGATGGCATCATAAAATGTATAAAGAAAGCTCCATTTCTCCCTCTGATTGTGGATAAAAGTCAGTATATGCATTTATTTCCTTACTTAGACTTCTGTGCTGCTCCAAACAAACAAGACTCTAAGCAGCATACAACTCCTGTAAGCTGTAAATCAGAATAAATAAAACCATACAAAACTATAACAATAAACTTAAAATAACCTGGCATCTAGAAATATTCCCTCACATCCACAATATACACAGTGTGTTTTGTACCTAGGAGCAGAAAATACACTACATACTATCACCAAAAGGGTGCATTGGAAGATCCAGGTTTCAATGAAACCTTGAACCATGAACCAACCTATTACAATTTAATTTACTGTATAATACAAATACAGTCTGTGTGGTTAGTTGGGGATAGAATATTTTTCCAGTCCAGAAATTTAGGTTAATGAATACATTATGATAATATAATCTGTGGTAAGCCACTGTGCTAGAGCAGGCCTACCTTATATTACCTCACAGATGTTTCAAATATTCTTTTTATAGAGCCAGTTTGGTTTAGTGGTTTAGGCCCCAGGCTAGAAACCAGGAGAGTCTGAGTTTTTTTCAATAAGCAGAAGTAAATTTTTATTAACCCTCCTAAAAGATAAAACAGGATCAGCTTCTGGCTTCAATGTTAAGTAGATAACATCAAGTTAATGTACTGTATGTTGAGATAGGTATTTCTCTTTTGTTTGTTTCTTTCTCACACTAGCGGAGAATTTAAATATTCTGGCTCCTTTTTCTCTCCCACTGTCAGATTTCTCTTGTTCAGTTTGCCTAACCGCAAAGCCACCTTCACATGCAGGAGTGATAAATCTAGAAGGAAACAGCTCTGTCCTTTTCTAAAAAGGTTGCTCTTTTACCTGCTATCCACTAGAGCAGGGGTCGCCAACCTTTTGCACCTCAGGGACCACCAAACTCATAATTTTAGATCCCAGGGACCACTAACTGGTTCTGTGGGCATGGCCTAATTTATGTGTGTGGCTTGGTGGTCATGTGACTGGCTGGGCATGGCTTGTATGTAAATATTATAAATATTTATATCAGTAGTATTATTTTTATTAAAAAGAGCAACTTTTACCCCAAATCAGGCAGATCAGGCAGATTGAGTTGCTCACAGAATTACAGATTCATTCAGAAATCTACCTGCCATTGGCTAGCTCAGTCTGTCACATAAAATTTGCTTGCAAGCAAACTCACAAAATTAACTGGCAACACACCATACATGTAAATATTGAATTTTTTATTTAAAAAAAGAGCAACTTTTACCCAAAATCAGGCAAAGCAGGCAGGCAGATTGAGTTGCTCACAGAATCACAGATTCATTCAGTGATCTATCTATCTGCCATCAACTAGCTCAATCTCTCAAATTTGCTTGCTGTGAGCATGCACTGAATTTGCTTGCAAGCAAACCTTCAGTCCTAAGGGAGGTTTGGCTGTGCTTGGCTAGAAAGCAAGAAATCCAACCATTTCCTGCTTCCTAGCTAATCTAAATCT